ATTTGTCCATACACTTCATCTGCATGTTGTCTCTTTGGAGAAGGGTATTGTTCATTTCATATGAAGAAGTTTGGGCAATAGATGCTTTCCTCTGGTACAATTCTGTTGGCCTGATGTTCTTTCTAGCTTCATGGATAGCTTAGGTGAGGTACCACGTGAATTCAAACGCATGCTACGCGTATTTTACTTCGGTTAAATGTAATGGCTTTCGTAACCTGCTGATGAGGCTCGATAGAATCATGCTACGATCACCCGACTTGTAAATTTGAGATCCATTTTTTTCTGCTCGTCTTGACCCTGCCTCCCCTCATTGATACTTCCATTTTCGTATTTTTATTTTCATTTATTTTTCTCTTCATTTCTGACTCTTCTTACTGGTTGTCATCGCTTCCATAATATTGGGCAGAACTGCCCGTTTGCCTTGCGATGTAAAATAAATAAACAACAACAAGTCGGCGGAATAGCGCGAGCTCCAGTGCGGGAGCAAACACATTCCTAAAAAAATCATCGCCGAAGTCGCAACCACTTTTTCGTAATAATAATATTGTAGAGTATTAGTTTTCTCCGTACCTGAATGCGATGTTTTGAATACTAAGACAGTAATACTTACAGACGAGCCGCACCTCCGGAAGCGAACATGAAAGCGGAGCAGGCAGGACACGAAATAGATATAGGTATTACACACTACTCGCGTTCACGCTTCACATTTTGCCTGCTAGAGTTACAACTGCAAACGGAACTAATACTTACCTAACCCGTATCATCTCGTATGGGTCACGCCCGAAACTAATGTTCCTTGATGATTCAAGGATTGAGAGATTTTTCTAGCAGCAAAGTGACCATACGTCTGTACGTGTTCAGATTAGGTGACCTAACGCAATATCATTTTCCTGGGTAATTTCTGCAAGCAAATAACGCCGCCCACTCGAGCAGCGGAAGTCGGCCACGTCTGCTCAAAGGACGATCGCCGAAAAGCTGGTGTCGAATGCAGAAGGGGAGCTGGGTGGGGTTTCGGGCGTTCAGAATATCCGTTCCATGGCTGGTCATCTAATGCCTCTTCGGTGTTCTCGCACTGCAAACCACCTGCTTGGAAATCATTGGATAGCCTTTAAGACGACCTACGAGCCGATTCGGCTGAACGTTTGGGAAGCCCCACCAAACAACAGCCATGGATCTCTACAGCTTGATTGTAATCAACGCCATTCCCACCAGTCTGTGGTCTGCGATAGCAATAGTTCTGGCAGCTATAAATCTCCCCAATTGCTCCTGGATATTGCCATTATACAAGTCGAGGCTGCTGGATTCTCTGTGGTCTGTACACCGCACAACCTGGTCTCCGTACCTTCTCTTTGCGAGAAGTACCACTGCTAGACCTGCGAAGCCTAGGTAGCTGCTGGATCCCTTTCAGTTCCCTTTCAGTGCTGACGTTGCCCCGGGGTGCTTCAAGAGATCGCTGCCTAACTGGAGCCGAGTCTTACGCAGATCGTCCAAGCCTACAGGCAAGCATGGCGCATTCCGCTAGCTTCTGCGCTCACCTCGCCGTTTCCCTCTTCGCTTTCGCCTGCCTATCGTTATCGCCATCGGCGGATGCGTATACCCACGCGTCGAGAGTACAGCTGGCGCGGCGTCGTTCGGCCGCGGCTAGCTTGGTGGACGCGATGTTGGACTACGCGGCGGCCGACATGTCACAGAGCCAAGATCGGGCTGGGTATGACGCGGCTGGAGAGGAATCAGAGGCCGAGAACGGCATGCACGAGAGCTATGGTCATATTCAAGATACTGACGAGAACGAGGACTCCAATACGGTAGCTATCCATAGATGGATGGAAGAACCGGGCGTCTACCGTGATGGGCGCTTGGTCAGTAGCAACCAGGGATTTCCAATCAAGCACAGGAAGCGGCAGGACAGCACTGACGGTGAAGATGAGAAGGTAAACAACCCACTTCGCAAGTTTCAAGCCAAACTCGACTCCCTGCGCACTACAGTAGTGAAGCACCTAGACAAAGCACCAGCTGTAATCAACTCAGTGAGCGAGACCCTGAAAAAATATGCTCAATTGACCCGGAAGCAGATGGGCGAATGGGAAAACATTGGCAA